TACAAATGTCTGAAAATGTCCCTTGTATTTTCCAGCATATCCGATACCCTCGTAATTCAAACTGTACTTCTCAAAGGGTCAGCTGTCCACTCGCACCTACTATTAACTTGTTATATTTACACAAGACATATACTTAGCATAAGTGCCCATCAGTTACGAAAACCTGCGTGATCGTTATGAAATCGTGCGCTCCGACTAAGAGAAGACAGCGCGCGTGCCACGGTGCGGTATCTGAATAATTAATTTACTTATGTCTCCGACCCTTACCGCGAAAAAAATACCTACGAGAGGAGGCTCGAAATTCAGATGTCACATTGCAGTACCGAGAAGACCGTTTCGTCGTGAAGTATGGAACCTGGCAGAAGTTACTATTACGATATCAATAAAAAGTTACTCATGGTAATCGGCCAGTGGCCCTATCAGAAGCCTAAAGACAGAATGATTGCCTTTGCATTTACAATGGTACTTGCAGTCTTTGCATTCTTTCCACAGGTAGCGTTATTTGTCGTTAACATTTTTTTTTTTATAAAAAAAAATAAAATAATAGTAGAAACTTATTAAAATTCCGCCCATGTTAAATTGTCTGTTTGCAAGTGAAGTATCACAATAATTTTAGAAAAATTTTATGTTCCTTTATTCACGTGAATGCATTTCCAGACGGCAAGAATTTTCATATGCGAAAACGCGCAGTGTATCTACGAAACTTTACCACTATATATGTTATGTGTGGGAGTTGTATTGAAAATGTTCACATATCAATTTAACAGTCGGAAAGTACGTTTCATTGATATTTCAATCCTAAGCCACAGATTTAGCTTTATTATTACAAAATCTTATTGTTAGATTCTGTTGGCAATGTTGTTATATCCGCCGAGAATATTACATCTGAAATGTCGAATATATCGGTGATGTTTGTAGATTAAAGATCTCACAGATCGCTTATTCGTAGACTGGGAAATGCTCCAAACTAAGGAAGAACACGACATTATGAGAAAATATGCCGAAACAGGCAGATGGTATGCGCTGATATACTGCTGTAAGTAACAGCTGATCTTACAATTAGCTGGGAATAAACGAAATTTATTTTCTTATGCAATCAAAAAATTAAAATAAGATGATATTCATATTTTCTCTGCTTTGTTTGAATTAAATAAAAATAAATATTATGAACTAGTTCCGACGAAAATATTAATATAATTTTTGTGCTATATTAAGGGGGCATATACCTTTCTCGGACCAAAAAAAAATAGCATATTTCATTATTTTTTTCCGGCGAAAGTATAAAAAATGCAAAGATCGGGTTTTTCGTAAATGAAAGTACGCATTTTAGAGTGCATTTTCTGTTTTTTGTTTTTTATTTACGATGGAATGTACTTCCCCTGGGCCTAGGCCCTGCATGTTTTTGCGGTACCGGCGGAATCTCCGAGCTGGTTCATTTGAAAACAAAAAATCAAAAAAGGTCTTAAAATTTATGATATTTTTTAGTTTCTGTCGGATGCTCTTTGCAATTTTTGAATTATTTCTATTTGTTTTTTAAGAAACAAAATAAATATTTTGGCAAAAATCGATGTCTTAAGTTTGGAAGTCCGCCATTTTGTTAAAAATCAAAATTTCGGAAATCCCATCCAACAGAAACTAGAAAATATCATAAATTTTAAGACCTTATTTGATTTTTTGTCTACAGATGAACCAGCTCGGAGATTCCGCCGGTACTGCAAAACCCTACATGACATGCAAGGCCTAGGGCGAGAAGCTGTAGGGGAAGTACTTTCCATCGCAAATAAAAAACAAAAATCAGAAATTGCACTCTAAAATATTATACGTATTTTCATTTGCGAAAAACCCGATCTTTGTATCTTTTATACTTTCGCCGAAAAAAAATCTTGGTCCGAGAAAGGTATATGCCCCCTTAAAGTTAATGTACCAATGCCGAAACACTTAACATCTATGTCTGGACACTCTTATCATTTTAGTTTTTAAATAAGTATAACGCAAATTAAAATCAAACATAAAAATATAACACAAGAAAAATATTTTTGTCTTTGATTCTTTGATTTTAATTCGCATTATAACTTATTTAAGGACAAAAATAATAAAAATGTCCAAACATAGGTACGCGTGTCCAGGCATTGGTACATTTACCTTAATACATAAAAGATATATCATATATTGCACAAGTTTTCGACGAAGCACAGAGACACTTTCAAAAATAATATACAACATACTATTCAATTAATTTTAATTTTTGATTTTAGTAGGCGCTCGTTTTGACGAATTTTGTTCTTGTTGCAGCATTTATTTATGTGGGTACCGTTATATTTGCAACAACCGCTCTCGTGCCACGCATCTTGGATGTACTGTTTCCATTGAATACATCCCGTCCTGTAATGCTCCCATATCCGGCATACTATTTCGTTGACGAAAATCAATATTTCTACTATATTTTTTGCCATGAGTTATTTACCGGCTGTATAGGTATGACTGGATTAATCGCGCACGATACAACGTTTTTCGTTTACGTCGAACACGTCTGCGGTCTTTTCGCCATCGTTGGGTAATGATCATTCATACCGAGAGGGAGATCACATCTCTTTTAGTTAGGAGAAAAATAAAATTTCTGTACCGAAGAGTACACATAACGTAATAATAATTTTAGCTCGAGTGCACATTATTTGAAAGGAGCAGAAACTAATTTTCAAAACTTTCTAATATAACGTCGCGCGAATACTTACAGATTTAGATTTGAGCATGTGTCACATAAACGTAGTACTATGGAAAAAAATATGCTCAATCATCCGGATGCCGTGTATCACAAGAATATTGTGATTTCGATTTACGCTCATCATAAGGCTTTACAGTGAGTGTGTAACAAACGTAGTATATATTTCTCTTGTTAATCCTAATGTAAATTTAATAATCTTTGATAAACCATGATAGATTACGATGTTTTTGCTTGACTTTTATTTAAATATTTAGCCATCATTATTATATCTTTATATCATAGATTTGCTGAATTTCTTGAGAATACTTTTACGATATCATTCGCCGTGCAACTTCTGATCGTTACAGTTGCCTTGAGTATTACTTTAGTACAAGTGAGTTACTTACGAGTAGGCAAATACTAGAACTCTGTAATCTAATGAACAACTAAAACAGGATTTTACCTTTCACGCGTTCAAGCTTTCGATACAGCTGCACAATTTAGCGGAAGCGCTTAGGTACTTCTTCTTCATTTCTGCTCAATTGTTTCATTTGTTCTGCTTAAGCTTCCAAGGACAAAAGCTGATAGATCACAGCCTCGAGACTTGCGACAAAATGTAAGAGAAAGAGACAATATTTAATTGAAAATAAATTATTTATCGATATATAAATTTGATCGCTATAAAGGATATCTTTTCCATAGATATCTTTTACATAAGACATTAATTATTTTCTACAATCAGTATTCTTATTTAACGTGCATATTTTATGCATTATTTTATAATGGCAATTTTATAGATATTATGGCTTGTGGTACACCATACCTGTGAAGGAGCAAAAACTACTCATGTTTGTGATAAGAAAAAGTATCGAAGCTAGTGTCTTGACCGCCGGCAAGATATACATATTTTCTCTAGAAAATTTCACAACGGTAAGACAATTAACATGACACACGTTTTAAAAATAAACAAGCCAAATGTAAAACCCTTAACTGTTCTTTAGATCGTGCAAAGCTCGATGTCGTACTTTACATTACTATCGTCCTTTGACGTGTAATGATCGATACCTGGGTGATTACGCCAGCATGTAGTAAAGTATCCCTGAAATGTTCCACAGGAGTGTAATATTACAAATAATACAGCGAATAAAATAATATTTATATTTGCTATTATGTCATGAGACAAAGATAATAAAATTCTATTTTGTCATCGATATTGCTCTACTCTCTAAGTAACTAATTGTAAGAAGCCTTCCCTCCTGATTTCTCTCGGAGACCTCGAACACTCACATTTACAGGAGGGCTCTCTATCACTAGAAAGTATTCATTACGTCACGCTATTTTATTCTGATCGATACCTGCTCTCCGCAGGAAACTTGAAAAATGAGCCGCTTTTCAATGGAGCTGCACTATTGTCAAAAATATCACCGGTGTCCATAAAATCCATTAGTCGGTCATCGATCCACACGCACAAGTTATTTTGCAA